TCTTGACACCCAATAATCCTCGAAAAAATAGCCAAGATAGCGGAAAAAGCAGATACACCATACTTTTAAGAGCTTCGTGCCTACAAGATAGAACACAGAAGAAACGATAAAAAGCGTAAAACATCTGTAAACCTGTAGCAACTGACGAAATTTGCATAACCAACTGCTATAGAATTGTGATGGGCACGAATCACTCGCACTCGAAGTGGATCAGTCTGCTGACGATCTGCATATCTTGACGACTGTCTCATCATCATTGATAGTTCATTTTTAATCTGAGAAATAGTTCCAGTAAATCAAAGCAAAAATCATTACCCTCTGAACAAAGTGAGCTGACCTGTCTTGTTAATTCGTAAGAACTTTTCTTGACATGTCCCTGAAAACCTCTTGAAGGACTGCTATATCCATTATGTAATACCTAAAAGGCTTAATTTAATAAACAAGATAAGTTCAGTTTTTTAAAAAAACACAAAAATTTTTTATTTGAATAAAGCAAAACAGAAAAAATCCAAACAGACACTGATTTGGTCAGAACTACTAGCTCGACTATGACCAGCACTACGATGCACGCCACTTTTAGCAATATTTAGTTTATCACTCACAATTACGGGGGAAATACCATTTGCTTCCAACTTGGGATTTTCACCGCTAGCGGGCACTTAAGAAGACAATTAGCATATCTAATAACATAAAGAATGTCAAATGATGTGTTATGAGGTTTAGAAAATAAGTAGAATATCAAATAAAACTATTTGATCAAAAAAAATCGGATTACTTTTGCAGTCTACAGCTAAATGATTGGTTTCACCCTCATTCTCCATTGATGAAGATTTTTTCTGTACAGCTGACGAGTAAGCAGATTGTGGATTTGACGACAAATCAACAAGCTGAGGAACCTACGAAAGCAAAGAAATGTTAATAAGACTTTAAGTAAGACTTTAAAAAAATTGAAGGTTCAAAAAAAAAAAAAAGATGTAAATGAGCTACTACTTAGATGTGGGCGATCTTCTCTGCACTAACTAAACAGTAATCTACTTGACGACTGCAAGGTAATTTAAGCTATTTCAAACAACTGAATACTCCTAACCATTCCTTGACTACAATAAAAGTTCAAATATCGCTTTAACAGTACCGTAATGTAAATTAACCCTGAAGACAAAACTGATTTCTGATTAGACCAAAAGTATTTTTAAACAGAATTCCAAGAAAAAATTTTCACTTGGTGAGCGAAACTCTTTGAAATTTGACAGAACTTATTACTGAAGTTACGGAATTTCAGAAACAAAGTGGATTTACCGTCTTATTTCATTTCAAAATTAAAAAACTGCTACTATTTGAAAAAATTAGTTTCATTTATTAGCAGAAGAATATTTTTAATACAATTTTTGCTAAAATACCTGGAATTTAGCTTCCATACTAGGCAATAATCGAGGTTGTTGGACAATGTTGTTCTGCGATGAAAGGCGCTGCGCTACACAAACACCTGCAGGTTCGCTTAAGTTTCTGTGAAAAACATGAGAAGTTGCGGAACCAGAGGTACTCCTAGACACAGTCTGCGGGCTTTGAGACTGAGATGATCCTGGGGAAAACATAGTTCGCGTACAGCCTGAATGCGATTAAAATACTCGAGGAAGGTTTTCAACCTTCACTTCCACTCTTATTACAGAAAAAATTAACTTGAAATATTCAAACGAACCTTCAGTAATTAAGAAAGCTGGAGGAGGCAAATATGCATGAAACAATACATCACCGCAAGCACATTCATTTAACTCCTCGCACAAAGTCAATCGTCGCACCAGCGGAGTTAAACCATAGTAGAGAGCTTCATGTTTCAAACTCGTAAGGCTTACAGTACTAGATAAGTTCAAATAAAACAACAAAAAGAAGTTGAGCTATGTTCTCCCAAGTCACCCATTTCTTCTAACTTTTAAAATGTTTAGTTAAAAAGACTTCAAACTCGGATGAAAAGAAACAAACCTTAAATCCACTTGTTTTGTTCGCAAATAATTTAAAATAATTCGAAACAATGCAGGATCTCTATCAATAAATATCTATAAAAATTTAATATACAGAATATTGCAAAAGTAGCGGTAGAAACAAAAATTTTTGGCACAATAAATATTACTGAACCGTAACGAACTGTCAGACAGGATGAAGTGTAATATCTTGAATAAGCGTTACGGAGTAAAATAAACTTCAGAAAAAAAAAAAACGAAAACTAATTCAGTTCTCCAATCTTTCCACACAATACGAGACGGAACCAAGATGTAACGAGGTAACAAAAAATCTATATTTCTAGCCCGAGAAAAAAGCAAACTAAACAACTCTAAAATTAAAAGCAAAGAAAAAAAGTAGTACTTACAGCGCCTGTTTCATCTCTAACTGTCGGAATTCTTCCGCTCAAGAGGCTGAAATCACACTATGCTCAAAATTTACAAAAGAATTAGTGTAATGTGACGAATTAAACAAGTCCAAAAGAAGAACAATAAAAAAGGCCGTTCCTACAGCGACAGAATGAATCTTAAATAGAAAATTCAACAATAGTCACTTTTTTATGCCACTACAAAAATTACTCAAAAATCATTATTCTGAATGCTCAAAAAGCTTAAGAGCCAACGATTAGTCCCTTTAGGCGAAAGTTCACAAAGAAATTACGCTGACTTGTGAAAAAAACTCATGCGAGAGCCAATTAAAATGTCAAATCTTTGATCCCTCAAAAAGCAAAGAAAGAAACTTACCGGTGTGAAAATTTCCTACAAATTATAAATCGTGTTTACCTAGTATGTTAATGCCAAAAATATAAAAAAGTTCTACAAATTTAAGGCACAGAACAGTTGTAACGGGGAGCGGTAGGCCCAGCAATATTAAACATCTGAAGTTATCACAGTTCTACGAAAAGTATTTAACGAGAAAGATATAAAAACTTTTAAGTTTGCAAATAAAATAGGAAGTAAAATTTGTACAATTTTTGGTAACTCTTTCCGTTATCAAAACGATTCAAAATATTTGACAAAGAGAACCGGTATAATTACAAAGACAACGGTTACTGAATCCTCAGTCATAACAAATTTATCCAATTACTAGCACCAAATAAAACAGTGAAATACTTTAGAAACGTGGTTCTACCTTATATACATACTCATTATTAGCGAAAATTTTAAACTTTAACCTCGTAAAGAACGAATCCGAAATCCAAGTGAGAGTGTGCCGAGAAGTAGCAAAACGATGACCACCAACATTTAAATTGACTATCTGTTCTGCAGAAGTTGACGGGTTCGTCGTCATAACCTAAAACCTCTATGATGATTATCCAGTGAACACTTGCTAACTGCCGTCACAAGCAGATAATAAGAGAAAAAATCAGAAGTCCAGAAACGCTTGTAATACGTTATGCACTAATATTTCCTACTATCAAAAAGTTTAACTCTTAACTATTATGAATAAGACAGTGAACAACAATCCGTTTTGTCAAGATAAGATATAACGGCATAACTGATATTTTATATGCGTTTGAACTACAATTTCATTAGAGTAATGACGATTAAGTGGGAATTCTTGAACGTCTTGACAAATGTTGCCGTAAACACTGGTTTCAGAGCCATTCCATATACCCTGCTATCCACGACTTTTAAAAAAGAAAAAAAAAAGTTTAGCACCGAGTTTCAGACAGATTATGAACAAAAAACACGGAAAAAAATTATCACATTTGAAACCCATGAACATGATTCATACGAGATACTGGAAGTTTGTTGATACCGTATAACTTGTAGCTGGCAGAAGAGGCGCTTCGTAGCAAAAAAAAAAAAAAAAAAAAAAA